TCCACGAAGAAAAGGATTTTTGAAGTTCGGAATGTGTTATTCGGAATCAGCGTCCAAAGACGAACCAGAATATGTATTAAAATCGAAAAAATAAAATTCACTTGAATTTTGATCTAGCTGAACCTTACTAGAAATGCAGACATACCAGGATAAAATAAACCATCGACATCATACCGAGCAATAACACGTTGTCCTACAGACTTGAATAAATCATAGATGAATGGACGTTCAATTACACGTTTTGGTTTAACATCTTCCACCTTCTTAGATAATATCTGTCAAAATAATGAAATACATGTCATCATGTCAAAATATCAAAAAATTTCATCATTTTACAAACTTCAGCATGTTTTTGATGTTGCCGTAAATCTATCGATATTTGATAAAATTTAATTGCTTTCTCAATTTCATTATCTAATTTTAATATAGATTTTAATTTTAATGGTGATTCACTTTCTACCAATGCATTTTGCAACAGAACTTTATTCTTTACATAATAGGGTGCAGATTTTTGCATAAAACTAAACAATAAATAACTTTTATATCATTAAATTTTTTAGATATACCACACACGTACGTTTTTTGTTCATCATCAGATAATTTTTTCCAGGCATAATACTCAAGAGCACTGTTTTCAAATAAATCAAATGTCATAGAATTTTATTGTTATAGTAAAATTTATATTTTCTACCTTTGACTGGTATATTCTTCTTGTGTTATATCTTTTGTAAGTCTGAAAAAGTTAAATTATATTAGCTATTTGTTGGAAAAAAACTAAACTTCTTACTCTTTTTGTTCATTTTCTTTAAGACTAGTCCAATATATGGAAGGAGCTAATCTAAAAGAAAGAAGTAGCAAATAAAATAAAATTTAATATAAATATATTGAAAGCCTACTTACTTTCTCTTTTGATCTTCAGACAAATATTTCCATATAATTTCAGATGCAAAACTAAAATAAAACATTTTAGAAATGGAAATATAGTTAACAAGTAAAATTAATCATCATTTTAATTAAGTTTATAGTTTTTTAAAAATGAACTGACCACTAATCGACTTAGTCTTTATTAATTCAAAATTTTATATGGAAATATACTTACTCATAATAAGTTTTTAATAGAGCATTCAAGTCTTGCTCATATGTTACTAGATCCACTGCTAAATGATTGATTAAACGTAATTTTCCAACATAGGGTCCATGTGCCAAAGGAAGAATCTAAAAGAAATGATTTTCAGCTATATTTTTGTCTCTATAATAGTCATAGATATTTTTACTTACATCATCCCATACTTTTGATATGACATAACGGTCAATCAACTGCACAAATCCGGGTTTGACAGTGAAAACTGATGGTTGTAAAATGTCAAAAATTGTTAAATGTTTAGCAATCAGACTATTTTTTTTTAAAAATAATGTTACTTCATCATCAGGCGTTCTACAAGAAAAGAAAGAGAAAGTTAGATAAATGAATTAGATAGGTTTAGATCATATGAATACGAACGACGGTTTATCATTAATTTGCTGGGCTTTAGCTAAAAAAAGTATAAATAAACGGTTTATATGTGTATCATTGAATTGAATATTTACTTACAGTTTCCATCATTCTTCGTTGGTAATACTTCATGCTCACTAACTTCTAAATCATAGAAATCAACAGTTAATATCAAATGTCGATGAATTTATGACCATATTACCCGTTCTAGCATTTTCATTCTTGCTATTGTTTCCTAACAAAAATTTACACGTTTCTGGCAGTAGCCACTGATCCGGCCTAAGATTAATTGCACTAGCTTCATTTAATAAACTACCTAATTAAATAGAAAATAATACAATAAATATAATCTCGATCGCAAACAATTGTTTTCAAGCTCATTTACGCTACTACGATCACCATACATTTTATTCAAATATAGTTGGAAAATCCTCATCTGATATTTTGTTCAATGCTCCTCCCGTAGTCTTCCAATAAATTAAATTTAGATACTAACTTGATTTTGCACGACGTTTACGATTATTCACTAAATGTTGTTTTGATTGTTTGACATGCATTGAGACTAAAATAGTTTTTCATTGTATATTAAACCTTTAATGCGTCAATCTTTTTTCCATATCTCACCCGATTTTTCTACTCTTTTGGTTTAATAAAATATATACATTTTTCAATTTTCGAAAATCTGCTTAGTTTTTGTTTTTTAACAGAAAGAAAATTCTTCTTCTTTTTTTTTATCGAAGCAACAAAAGAAGTGATTGAAAGGAAAGAAAAAGAATCACACCGACTAACTATACTGTTAACTGTTTGTTGGTAATATGTAATGGAGGTTGGTTTCATAAATAAAATAGAAAATGTATTCTTGACAACGTATCATAATACAGGTGTCAAATTTACGTGATTATATAGAACGGTATTTCTTAATACTAATTTTTCTTTGCCCTTCAACAGTAATTAACAATGAATTATGCTCTTAATTTAACATAAAAATACTGTCTATCTGATAGGCAAGAAAAATTCAAGTAGTTAATTAGTCTATGAGTTGTGCACAAGAACCAAAGATGAGTTTGCTTAATAATCATCTTAAATTTTGTTTTTCAATCTGTCTGTGCTGTAGCGCACATAATTAGGACTGATGTAACGGAGAAGGTTTCTTCCTAACTTAAAGCAGTTCTCATTCTAAATTTTATACTCTTTAATTAAATGTATACATCTACAGTTGACTTCGACGTCAGAAAAAAGAAAAGATTTCAAAAACCGATAGTTAAAGTATATATAAAATATAAAAAAGTAAAAAAAACATTACAATTTTTTTCAATCCTCGATCAGTAAAATGTTAAGAACTCATTTTCATAGGCTGGATCTTTTGCTAGATTTTCCTATAATAGAAACCTTATACATTTCTTACAAAATCCTACAGTAAAATTTTATAGGATTCCTATTTTTTCGTTCTTCATATATTTTCTTTTCTTTTTCTATACGAGAACACAATCGTCAACGTGTTTTGTAGTAGACTAACTCTAATACAAATACAACTCTATTGTAGAAAATGAAAAATTCTTTTAGATTCAAATTTCCGCACCGAATACTGTGAGCCATCAAAACTCGCTACTGTTCGACGACGTGTCAGTCAGTACTCACGAGCTTTGGACTTATCCTAGCTCAGAATCACCTGCACCCTTGGTATAAAAACCCTATTTCTCTATCGCTTATTATTCTTCAATTATAAGAAAAATCGTGAGCCTTGAAATGAATTAAGCAACAAATAACAACTTCTCGTTTGTTTTATATTAGAAGAATGTCTGAAAGAATCTGTTCATGACATGAGATATCGTCCATCTCTTACTTGTTCAGTGGAAAGAAATCATGCTAGTTTTGCTGACGCTTTTGTTTGTTGCTTCTATCTGTTAGCATTGTGCTAGAGATTTATTCAAGGGGGGGAAAAGCAGACCTGGGACTTTTATGGATTTTAATGGACTTACGTGGACTTTGAAAGTCTACCGAAGTTCAAAGTACAATCGACTTTTCCAAGTCTAATAAAGTCTATAAAGGCCAGAGAAGTCCACAGAAGTCCATCTAAAGCGACATAACTGGTAAGAAGTCTACATAAATTCGCATAGATCCATAAAAGTCTACGTATATTCCTGGACTTACGTGAATTCTGACGAGGTCTGAAAGTTCATAACTGAATTTAAGTCTACTTTTTCCTCTTTGGACTTATCTGAACATATAACATAGAGTAATTATTATTTTTCAGTTAAAAGTAAGACTCAAGTTTTGGCTCTGTATACTCTACAGCGCAGCGTCATTTAGTAGTCTAGCGTATTTCACATTAGCTAGTCGTAACACGAATTGCAAATGTATAAATGTATTTGCAAAATAGAGAGAAAACGAATATCATGTCATTAGATTTAGTTAATTATAATAACTACCGATGTACATCAAAGCTCACAGGTCAAAGAAAATTGACATTAAATAACTTATATATCGCCTGTTAACTTCATAACGAAAATTTTTCTTTTAACCGGCTAAAAGCTCTAAAAAACCTGCGTGTTAATAGTCGCCATTCTTTGTCCGTTAGTTTACCGTTCAACAAACATTGAATATATTTATAAATGGGTATTTATAAACAATTAATTACACCATTTGCAATGTCATGTGTGGGTTTTTGCTTTACTTTCAATTCACAATCCATCTAGAGACTACATACCATTCGATCGATAAGTTGATGTAAAGGTGTTTTGATTTTTTAATTTTAATAACGGCGTTGTTATGCTGCTATTCAATTCACGGCTTCTAAATACCCATACTTGTATAAATCTTCGTTATCTTATAATAAAAAATACCCTACTTTAGTAATTTGTCTCCATTTTCTTTTGACCACGCTCGTCCAATGCATTCATCACGAAGTTCAGCTACACGTTTTAATTCATTTTCTCCTCTTGTTAATTCTTGCTTTAATAAGCCAACATCTTCACTCTAAAATTAGACGATACATAGTAATCAGTAATAAAATATTTCTACAATACAATACCTCTGGAAGTTCAATTGAATCATTTACTAAACCGTAATTAAATGCATGAAATCGTCCACCGGTTTGTTTAGCCAAATCGTACAAAAATTGATTAGCCGCAACATCTTGACAATTAAATGCAATTGTATGAATAGGTACAGCGTGACGATATTGCACTTGAGATAAAATATGTCGTTCGTTCTAATAAATAACAGTAGAACGTTTTAAAAAGCTAAATAATATATATTGTACGGTTAACGGTATACCTGATCAGGTCGACCATCAGTCAAAAGATAAATAGCTTCGGTTTGTGTATCTGCCAAAGCAAAACGTAATGCAGCTAGTGTATTCGTTGAACCTTCCGCATTTAAACTTTGAATCCATGGTAATATTTGACTATGTGTAGTTGCATCACTTATTTTTGTTAAACGATCTCTCCAAGGATTAATAACAGTGTTGAATGCTATCATGTTTACACGTTCTTTCGAAAATAATTGATCCTAAAATCCATTTTATTTTTAAATAAAACAAAAATAATAGAATATGCATTTTTGTTTATTACCTGCAATAATAACAACATTTTATCTTTAACAAAGCCCAGATGATTTTGCATAGATTTTGATGTATCGATTAGAATATAAATATTTTTTTCCAATATACTACCAAACACATCACGACTGCCTTTTTTCAACCATAGAAGTCTATAAAATAATAATAAACTTTATATCTTGACATCAGTTCTAACAACCAATAACATACCTAGCTTTAATTTTTCCAAGAAGAGCACGAACTCGACGCTCATAATCACGGTGAAGCTCGGGTGTGACATGTACATGTCGGATTGTACCTACATAAAAAAATCTATGTTGTCAAAAAATTAAGAAGAAAGATATAAAACAAATAACTTACCATCCGGCCATGCGACATGTGCAAATTGATCACAGTATTTTGCATTAATTAATTTATCTCTAGGATCCTAAAATAATGTGTTAGTAATGGGATATGTTTTTCTGTCAATGTCGATCTATCACTCTTGTTCTTGACGTTTTTCTATCCGTAGACTTACAGTTGGCATATGGGAGTTTTCTTTATCATTTGGGGGTTTCAAAACGGTAACAACACCATCACAATGACGAAATGCTGCTGAATGTAAAACGGAAAAAAAATCTAATTTTTGGGCTTCTAATCCATAGAGTTTTAACCAATCTAATGATGCCATATCACCGTCTAGATCATTCGCTGACGATTGCGATACTAGACTACGTTGAAAATTATCACTGATAGTGCTTGAGGACACATCTGATGCTTTTGAACCTTAAAAATGAGAATTTTTTATTAAAAAAAATAATCAAAGAACTGATGATATTTTCACATACTCTCAGGATTGCTTATACTTCTACCAGTACTATCATTTTGCATAAATCCAAGAATTTTTTCTATTTTATCGATTGTATTTTGACATTCATTTATTTCTTTATATAATAATGAGATATCTGTGGGAAAAGCAGTTACACTACCAAACAATAATTTATCACTTTGAACTTTGATTCGAGTTGGATCGGATGAATTCGTTGATGATGTCAAATCTGGTAATTCTGATTTGATTTTATACGTAAAAAATCTAAATAAAAAAAAAATGATATAAACAATATTTTACAGAAACTAGTCTTCATCTTAGATACATACGTTCCACCACCACATTGTGCCAATGATTTTAAATACGTTTCTGTATCAGAATTATTACAAAACAAACTAATAACGTGTAATGAAATATTATTTATTGAACGTAATTTTATCAATTGATCGCGTAATAATTCTCGATTTGTATTTGATGACTCGCCTTCAGTTATCAAATAAACACTATGAACCTAATGTTGACAAATTAGTTGTTAAATCATATCATATATTTATAAAATATTACTTACATTATTTTTCATTGCTAAGATGATAGCTTCACTTGTTGAACTGAGAGATATTTTATTTTTTGAACATATTCTTTGACTAACCCAATCAATAGCACGATCAATTATTGTTGGCGTAATATCGACTGGTCCTTGTGATTGAAATTGTTCAACATCATTTGTAATCCTAAATGAAAAACACAATGATTTTTCATATTCTATATTGTTAATATTTTCAAAATTATAATTTTACCACATGATGTTAAATCGTTTGATTTTTATTATTTGTTCTTTAAGTAAAGTTATAACAGCTTTTTGATATTGATTAAATGTTTTTTGATCACTCGTTTTACAATCACATATTAAACACACAGACGGTTCACCAATAATTCCAAATAATCGTCTTGAACCTGATGTGATAAATGTTAAACGTTTTCGTAATAGATTTAATGCTTTCAATAGACGATGTCTATACTCTCGTAATTTCTCTGGCCTACATGTCAACTGAAATTAACAACGGTAAAAATATTCAACAATAGAAAAAGAGAAAATAGAAAATCAACAATCTTACACTATAACGATCGCCATTATCTCGTTGAACTTCATAATATAAATTACCAGAATACTGCGCCGTGATATTTTTGCCAAGTAATGAATTGTAATCTTAAAAATGAAGACAGACATATTGTTTATCGGAAATAATAAATAAAAAAACTACAAACTGTCTAATCTTTGGAAACCAATTAATTGTAATATTTGATCGAATGACAGTTTTTGCGGTTTGAGACCGTAACGTTGGAGCCATTCTTCTGTTCTTAACTAAAATTAAACAAAAAGAAAATTTATGGGAATGACATCATAATATTAATTTAAATAATCAATTCTTTACCTGACTGGAGATAAACGGTGGATCAGCTGAACTCTCTTTTGAATCATTCTCAGTCAATAAATCAAAATTATGAGGTTTACCGGGTGTAATTGAATATGGTACATTGTATTGCATAGATGCTGATAAAACATCAGATGTCATAGATAGTACTAAAATAAAACGAGTAAATTGTCGAAATTTAAGTCATAGACACAGAATAAGTAATACCAATACACATAAATTAACATCTGTTACAGTAATCTTTTAATTGCTTCTTACGTGGGAACCTCTCAAGGTGATACCATGCTTTTTTATTGAAATCTAGTGGGTTATAGGTTATCGACTATGTTGACTACGAATATCAACATGAGACGGGTCGCTAGGCCTCAAGAGTCTGGTTTTCTGAAAAAACAGTTTTTCAGAAACTCTAAAAAATAACTCAGACCTTTCTTAATGAAACATGATTGTAGCCCGCAAATTTCTGATTAAAATGAGACATCTCTGAGCTCCACACGACCTTTCTTTGCAAAGTTACAGAATTTACCAAGAAAGCCCGAAATGTCCAATGTCAGCTCAAAGCTACAGAAATAAGAAGAAATTAATTTAAGCTTTTCCTTGTAAATTCTATAACTTTGCAAAGAAAGATCGTGTAGAGCTCGGAGATGTCTCATTTTAATCAGAAATTTGCGGGCTACAATCATGTTTCATTAAGAAAGGTCTGAGTTATTTTT